GGCTGAGACGCCTCTCGAACTTGAAACTTGGCTATCCCTTCATTCACCACACGCGCTAGGAACATTCGAAAACGCCAGCAAAGACGCTTCAAGGCATCCATTGAATAAATTCTTGTGTCGTAGTGTGTTTGACGAAGAACGATCGCATCAACTAACGATGAATAGCCTCAGACGGGCACCTGCTTACGCACTTCCGCTTACTGACGGCTTAAAAATAAACACGTCGCAGAGGACGCAATAACATCTGGTAGTCTCTGTCGCACTCTTTTAGTTACTACTAATTATATTAGGGTATTGTTTCAATGTGTAACGCGCAACTATAAGAACTCGAAATTTGGGAAACAGGAATGTGTACATTGGTGTATTGAATCTGTCCTGAAGTGTCTTACGGCTATGTCCTTAACAGTCACACGAAACGAGAACGTAATTTAAACTCTCTAGCCGCTCTACTAGAACCTTCTCAGGAAATTCAAAAACGCACCTTATGGTTCAAGAAAAAAAAAAAAAAAAAAAAAAAAAAAACACTTTTGTAACATTTCAGGGTGTATAATGCACACTATATACACATGAAAATACGGTAGATTGTTCTCTGACTCGTGTGAGCCATTACTCGTGCCATTCGTAAATCAACGGCTATCCAGTAGCAGCAGTACATGGCCACGTGTTTATGAACCAGTAGGAGGAAATTTCAAACCGTTTGCAAAGTTCGCTGCCCACCTCTGTAAAATACACAGTACGCCACTCTTGACCCCCCCCTCCCCCCCCCCCTCCCCCCCCCCCCCCCCCCCCTCCACCACCCGAATCTTTCCACCGTCCATCTTCCAGACTAGAAATCCTAAATTCCAGTGAGAAGACACGCACGGGGGCCCCTAGAAACCTTACTCCTCCACATAATTCGGACTTCGGGACTTCGGGACAACAAACCTATGCAAAAATGGGAATAGATAACTGGTTAGCACCATTAGGGAAACGTTCCCAAGTGACGTGAAAAGCCGTGGAACTAAGTGCCGAGATCGCGAACATTCGCTCAACTATTTCAGCAGCACAAGAAGGTGGGGCTCACCTCTTGTGCTACTTGGGCAAGAGCAAATAAATTCTTGTTCTTTTAATGTGGAAAGGTTAAAACATATTTTCAAGTGACTGAAAAGTCCGGAACATGGGCTGCCTGGCTTTTGCTGCGTAGCGTCCGTCTGAACAAAGCCGCGTCTCTGGCTGGTCACCTTTCGCCGAAGAAAACAATCGGGGTCGTTCGCTCGCTGTGGCCAAGAGGTAGTTCGCCCTTTTTTGACCACCGATACTGCATGACTATGGGAGCGCGATACCTCTCGTCTTCGTTCCGGCTAGGGCTGATAAAAGAGGAGATCGTCGATCCGTGCTTCGAGTATATAGCAGGAAAATATGCACGGAGACATTTCTAAGGGTGTGGGCATACGAGTGCATGATACCAGGACGTTGAGAGAACAATGTGTACGCTCAGGGACACCGTTCCGGACTTTCAGCAGGTATATTCGGGACGACGGGCAAATATGAAAATATCGAATATTAGCTTTGTCGAGTTTCTTTTAAGAACTAACTTCGAAAATGGGTTGACCATTCGGTTACTTGATATCGCTATCTATTTCTCTTAGCCAACACCGTACGTCTTTCAAATGCGTTCAAACACTGAGCGGTAGCTAAGGCGTGTGACAAGCTCCTCTTCGGTTGGCTGTTGTTCAGACTTGTACGGTACTAATTACGAGTAATTAAATTACTTGTGATCGCTTACCTTTTTTTTTTGTAGTTTCGTAATAACTTGAATATATTTATTAGGAAGTAATCGGAATTACGTTTGGAAGTATAAAAATTACTAGTAACCGTTACACCTTTTTAATGCTGCCTTTTGTTTCCGTAAGTTTCCTACTAAGCGGTTCTCGAATGAAGTCACCGACAGGAGGTTAGTTTACCCATAGAGTTATTATAATGTACGCTAGAGGTTCAACTGGCGCTAGTGTCTATGCGACTTCCGTGACGCCAATTGAAGCAGACAGCAACCAGTCTGCTTTTGCGGTGCTCCTGTGCATTCTTATGGGAAAACACGCGTGCATTTTATCTCTTCGCCGGAAAATAACACGGAAAACTTTGGTCATTTCGGTCGTACCGAATAGTATGGGTCTTAATTAACACTGTAAAAGAGTAATTGCTTTACTTAGAGCGTTTTTCTTCATCAGTGAGCGATGTTTAACTTTGCTAAATTTCAGTCCCAAACGTGTGTTCCGCAGTAGGTGTGTAAAAACAAGCGACGATTCAATGCAAAATTACAATCGAAACGAATATGGAGTGTTTTCAAGACTCGCCAGCATTCCGGTGACGCTTATATATTGATAATATGCCAGTCCTGTAGCCAAATGAAAATGATCCCGTCGTGCATGAGCGGATAAAAACCTTCAAAACGTAGAAAATAAAGCCGGTGGGCTATGAAAGCTGTCTCTTCGTATTGTTTTCTCTGCCGGGCAGCTTTTATCGCGCACTTGTTCTCAAAGACATCGATGCGCGGGTGATATTTTGAACGTAGAACAAGCAGCTTCGCTCAGGGCAGAAAGAATAAAGCGGTACTCACTTATTTAAAATCGGAATAGATTATGTGGTCTTCAATTTATTTTGATTGTACATGCACTGCGAGTTACTGATCCAGTGTTACTGCACAGTTATTGCCGTCTCCCTTAATTTTCGTCCTTCGTTCGTTTGGCATGTATGTCCCCCATGCTGGAAATCGCCGACGCCACGTTCGCGCTAACAGTGTCCGACAGTGCGCATAAATACACGTACGGAGCCGTTTTAGCGCCGTTTTTAGTGCGATGAATTCGAAATAAAAACGCCGTAACTGACCAATCCTTTCGTCGGCCTGACTCAGAAATGTTCCAAACAACCTAGTGCGTACGAATTATTCGGGATATTTGCTCTTATGATCGAGCGCAGGGAGAAAATGCAGTCACTTTTTCCCATAGAAATGCATTACCGGAAGTCAGTTTTCGACTGGTTGCTGTCTGCTTCAATTTGCGTCAGCACACTAGCGCCACTTGAACCTCTAGCGTACATTATAATAACTCTGTGAGTTTACCAAACTTGGTACATAGAGACGATAAGTAGTTAATAATCCCGTGATTCTAATCCAAAAATGAACAGTATCAAAGACCCGTTTTCAAACCGGCAGAAAATCTGTCGTTTTCGAAATCTGAAGTGATCGGAAAAGTAACGATAACTTTTTTCAGGTGCCATGTGCAAGACTGGTGCTGATACGATGACACACAAAGAAGTCGGCAGCTATGTTCAGTTGACTCCTCATAAAAGTCATCATACATCGAACGCATTTTCGAACGACAAACACTTAAGACGCGCCAAAGGAACTTAACAAATCGTATTCGCCACCCCTTCCGGTGCCTCCGTTAACTGGCTTTCGACCTGTGCGCCTTGGAATCGCCCCTGCGATGCTGTGCAAGCGGAACAAGCTGTGTTGGTAAGCTGAAAGTCCAATTATCACACAAAGTATATGTTATTCTCCTTTTTTGTAGAAACCTCCGTTCCCCACGAATTCCGCGGTCAAACTTTGGGTGCAGTTTACGGGAAATAGTACAATTAACCCGATGACCGGCGTGCCGCCAAAATGCTTTATAGATCACTGGCTTGTCTGGATACGAAGTACTGGCGTGCGCTGACGTTCTTGTAAGGTGCCAAATTACTGCATGATTCGTAAGACGAACACTTTTATGCGAGGACATCACGCCATCAGTTTTCCGCAATAAAGGATACCTCTTTCGAGTTACGCAAGCTTCCCAAGTCTTGGGAAGACTTGGTCCATCAACGATGAACGTTATCGCAAACAATGCCCGCTATATTTGGGGGGTTGCAGTTATTATCCCCGATATTATTCACGTTTAATACTCTCTTTTTCGTGTCGAGGTTTCTCCGGACGACTGTCTACTCGCCTCGATTGAATTCGAGGTGGTCTCGCCAACCGGCTTCTTGCGTGGACTGAATTGGTATCTCGGAAGTACATAATTCGAATTTCTAAGCGACCACCACGTTCTTGAAGAAAGGGAGTAGACCATTTCAAAAAAAGGCAAACTCAAGCCTCCAGACAAAACAATTAGTTCAGGCATCTCGGAAATATAAAGGCGAAGTTTTCTTTATGGCGACGGTGGGTGAGGATGAAGCTGACTGGGAAATCCGTAAATGCGCGCAAACAGCGTGTCGCTAATTCAGTCATGACGACATGACGCCACCATGTCCTCGACGGAATTACTCTTGCACGAGCTAAGAATGAACTGGCCACGTGCAGTGTAAGACTCATGCCTGAGTTGCTTACTTCGCTCGATCAAAAGCCATGTACAGTGATGTCTCAGCTAATATGGACACCTTCGTTGCCCCCAAAAATCGTCCGTAATATGAGTTGTCCATAATAACGAGACAAAAACGCACGTACTTTTCCCAGTTTGACCCCGAAAATGGTGTCCATACAGAGGGGTATTCGCTATAACGAGACATAACTCTAATCGATTCCTGTAACGCCATCCCCGTCACGCAGACAAATGCACGGTCCTAGCGAAACAACATATCGCAACACTGTACACGTAGTGCATTTACTTCCTCCGGTGGAACTCAAGGGAACCATCGGGAGTATAAATTTTATGCTGACAAATCAAATAGCGACAGCGTCAGCCGCTCGTATGATCATACACACATCTTCCAAAAACGCAGAAACCACTCGGGGCCACTTTTTAATCAGAGGTGTTCGTGACCGTTCGGTCTCGTTCACGTACACCGTTTCGTTCTGATATGCACAGCGAAAGAGAAGAAAAATTAAGGGCAACACTGCGAACGGAAAACGACGCACTTGATGTCAGCAATTTTTCCCTCAAATAAAGGTAGAGGATGGCGCCCAGCTTTTCAACGCCAAAGCAACGAACTAGCAACACGTTCAGAGACAATCTCACGCTGTAATGAGAATATGAAAAATACGTTAATTCGTGAAAAAAATCCGAGACCTTGCCAAGGTCTTAGATTTATTTCCCGTATTATACTTACAGGGCTGTTTCACGCACGCCCTGTTTCGGCCAGTTCCGAAAAGCAAATCTCTCGCCCTGCTGGTGAGTACATCGAGTCCCAGCCGATGCTTCTTTGTGCTGCAGAGTACTGCGATCGAAGCTGCCGATAACTTTGCCAATACACTTGGACTGAGCTAAAACAAAACACTGCCTCCAAGCCCCGGAAAACGTTGGGTGATGGATGCAGGGGATAACACAAGATGTCGCGCTAGACGTATATGCCACGTCAAATCCTTTTATACATATTCTACTCGTGTGTGTTCCCCTTCTTTTCTTTTTTTTACTCTACGAAACAAACAGCAATTCGACATGATGCAAGGTCCCTGTAGACAACAGCTGGGATAACCCAAAGATCGAACCCTCGTCCGGAAACACCGGGCGAGACTTCAAAACAGACGATCGGAAACAACGGAGACAGACAGACATCGTGCCGTGGGTCGCCTCCAAGCCGACGCAACGGCAGAAACGAAAACCTGCCGAGGAACCGGTCACGGTCCCGGCGACGCAGTGGCTTGGGCTAGTTTCTTCCGCTACGTCATCTGAAACGAGACAACACAGAGAAGTCCTCAGCAAGATCGAACTGCAACACTGCATGGTATAAAACGAACAATTGTTCCACCTTACGTCCGGATATAGCCGTCGTTGATGGGACTGATCAACGACGGCTGGAGGCAGGGTGAGGTCAATTTCGTAGACCTTTATGCATTGACATAACACCTTTACGGATTAAAGGTTGCTGTCATCTAGTCATGTAACATGATGGGTTTTATAGGGCCGCGTGAGCTCAAAAGCAACGACTGGCGCTTAACAAACGCGTCGCCTCTCTTCTTTAATATGAGGTGAGAACAGCCACATTTCCCTCGTTTGCGTTCTGGCTACCTTGTCTGCACAAACTTCTCTAACAATCGCACAATATCCTATACTCGGTTAGGTGTAACCTTTTGTGTCAATGCACTTGAGACTGTGGACATCTTGGGCATCTTGAGCACTGATCAAAGCTGCTCGTGCGTACTCTTCGCTACTTCCGAAATGCCACAATACGTTGCTTCCCTGAACTGAAGCACTGCGACGAGCTCGCAGCATTACGTGCATGGGTTAAATGTGGTAATTCTCTCGACAGCTTAACAGAAGACACAGGAAAGCGGGTCTTGAGTCACCTTGCCCAACCGTTGCGATTTTAAGATTATAACGCTTAGTGGCTGCCTTTATCGCCGCAAGTTCCGCCGCCGTTTAGAATGTCGCTAGGCTTAGTTTTTCCAAGATTGTTCCTTTTTCGTAGATACCGGAAGAGGAAGAGAGCAACGTCCTACACTCGTCTGTATGAGTAGAAAGCGTCTGTACGAGTAGAAAGTGAATATGGTTGCTAGACGAATATTCCACGCAATATTGGGTCTTCTTATTTCTTACGAAGGATGCACGCATCGTAGTTAGCTTGGGTAGAATCATAATGACATTAGTATGGCGGTCTTTACTCGTGTTTTTTTTTTTCTTTTTTTATGTAGGTTGTATATAGAATGGAATTAATGTCAAAAGCCAAGTCGAAACGTTTCTTGATCCCGATTGAGTCCAGTAGAAAATGGAAGCCCGAGCGAGTGTACCGGTGTGGGTGCCCATGTGTTACCCCAAAACATGTGCGTAGGGCTTGCATCTGGTAAGCCGCGGTAACACTGCCCAATACATCATACAAAAGAGAGTCTTTAGAGACACTGTCTGAAACGTGCTGCTTCCTCGTATGACGGGTCCAGTAAAATTGGTCGGACAAAAAAATTACCTCCAGACGTGACGGAATTATCTGCGAACGAGCCCCAAACAATGCTCGGAGCACGTTTTCTTCACAGATTCGGAAACATGTCTGCAGACAGTTTTTTGTACGACATATTTATTATTAGCCGTGTGACGGCGGCCTTAAAGCAGACTTGTGCCTATCTCAAATACTGTACTCAATATACTGTATTTCAAATACTTTTTGAAGTGTCCTGTTATTTTGCAAATACTGTTGATCGAAGGAATTTGATACTGTATTTTAATTACATTTTTGAGTATCTTGTACTCATTAACTCAAATACATTTCTGACATTCCGCCCTTTTCCAAGTTTTTCGGTAGGGAAGTGGCGTGGGCGTGGCAAAAGGAAGAGCTGTTGCTAGCTTTTTTATTTTTTTTATTTATTGATACTGCCGGCTGCTCATACGCAGCCAAGGCAGGAGATATACACAATAAAATGCACTTGAAAATAAAATACATAGGTGTGGTGGCGCTACAACTCGTAAAGGAATAAAGGGCCAACAGATGCCCTTGATAGGATTCTTCCCATGCAAAGAATGACTACACAAAAGGATCTTTTACAACTACACGTCACAAAAACACACGCAAACATAAAAAACAGTACAAACCTATAAAAAAAAAGAAATATCTAAAGCATGACTAGTAGAAAAGCACAATCACAGACAATCAAACCAAATCATACGCATGTAATATCAAACAACATCCGATTCCTTTAACTTAGCTGTGAACGACAATACGCAATCTGTGGAGGCGATTTCTTGTGGGAGCAAGTTCCATTCATGAATCGTACGTGGAAAACATGAATATTTGAAGCAGTCAGTTTTACACCTTATTTCAGTGAAAGATTTGCAGTGCTTGTTCCTTGTTGGCCTACTAGTATTGAAATGAAGGTAAGTCACCGTAGCTTCGATAAGCTACGGTGACTTAGATTGAGCTCGTGAAAAAATTGCTTTTGTGCCGATTGTGACTCACATCTCAGCCCAAAGTCCGTACAATGAAGGTTTCCCCCTCGCCTTCTGAAAGGCGCCTTTTGTTTCCTAAAGTTTCCCAAATAAAAACCTCAAACAAAAAGGGTTGTTTTACGGAAGTGAAGAGTGCCAGATTGAGACGCAACGCAGAACGGGAGACGACCCACGACAACAATGCAGACTTCAGTGTTAAGAAAATAACAAATAGAAGAAAATGAGAAGTGGACACAGAAAGAAGACACTTTCTTTTACCTTGCTTAATATATGAACCCGCTACGACTTAGCTTCGGCAAAACATTTTTTTTTGTCGTCAGTCCGGCATTTATTGCTCCCGCGAACACTGTCTGCAAGCGAACACTGATAAGCAGAAAACAGGACAGAAAACAGACTACGAGCAGGATGATCTCTGAAAATGCCAACGAAGCGTCCCCCAACGTTGAGTGCCTTTCTGAACGCAACCTACTTGAAGAAGGTGCGACCAGTGCCGTGGCTATTATGTTGGCTCTCTTTATTATCCATTTACTCACTTCCTAATCCCAAGTTCGTTTATAGTGAAATCCCCATATAGGGAATATAAACCGTAGTTATACGACGCGTGGTGGCGAAGCAGGACGTGATATTCAGTGTTGTTAAAAATAGCTAAAGCTACCTCTTTTTTTTGTGTCCCAGAAATGTTTTGTAACATGTATCAGTGATACCCTGCTCCTTATACCTGGACCGCATAGAATAGCCCTACAATGTTTTGTTTTTGTGTTTAACTTAGCTGCATTTTAACTTTAAACAACTTGATAAGTTTATAAAATATAAAAGTAGTCCCGTTCGGCCCCGGCGCGGATCAACGACGACAGACAGAGCCACCGCACAGATCCCACAGACCAACCAAAAAGCCTCCTCCTCTATTCGTCTATACACCTGGGCGCCTGAGAGCAGGACGCGATCTTTCTCAAATGATCGTTAGTTGATCCGATCAGGCCTCGTACACCGACTTTGCGGCGCATCCGCCCGCTGGCTGACACAAAACACCCTGAGACTCGAGGCGGCAGCAACCCGCTCGGTAACACTACAAAAAACTACTCTCATATTATAGAAGTCGCTGATCATGGTAAAAGACAAAGGTCCCGTCCTATCTTGTCCTACCTTATTTTGAATATGTGTTCGTGAAGACAGCAATATGCAAGTGAAATGCAAGCTATGTCTCCCCAAAGACGAAGATGCTCTCCAAGTGCAAAGCTTGAAATTACAATATCCGGAATCACCTGAATGTATGTTTGAATTTTCATTCTTTCTTTCAGCTCTACATGTACAATTGTTTAATGTTACCTCAAATCACTCGCATTCCAGACAACTCCCCTGTGTATTTATTTCGCTCTAACTGCAATGAAGATAAAGAACCTAATGAGTTTAGTATTGCATTTGGCCATTGTACTGCTTTCTGTCAGGGTGAACCGAAATTATGCGGTGGTGTCTTCCTGAGGAAACAAGAACGGATATCCGACGAGCAGTTCGAGAATCAGCTTCTGTTACGTGCTAATAAACCATTCCGTTAAACCAGATTTGCGGAACTGTATAACTTTGTTTGTCACTGACGTCGATACAAATAACACAATGCGCAAGTATCTTCAAAAGTGATTAAATTACATTTCTCAGTATTCCTCAAGATACATTACAGTGAAAGTAATTTGGGTTGTATTTCAAATACCTCATGAAGCAGGTATTTAGTAATTTATCTTAAATACTTTTGTGGAGTATTTTGTTTAACGCTGCTTTAAAGTGCGTCCTGTAACACGGAAAATGGTACGCTGAGTCACAGTGGCGTTGCACCTTTGTCCGCGTGCTTTCTCATGATGTGCGTAGATTTAGCTTCTCGTCTTGAGATGAGGCGCCGCTTTCTCGTTCCGGCTTACGTTGTCCAAAACCGCAGAACAATATCTCGACGCCTCAATCAAAAGAATGCAGGTTGACCCCCTTACTGATGTTGTCTGACGCCACTTAATTTTATGGGGACCCCACAAACAGCTTGTAACGTAAGAATCCCGAACATCTGTCGCTGGAACGAGAGACCGTGAAATTACGAGAGGTTCTGGCTCGTACGTATTCTATCCGCGACGCGCAACGCCTGGCGAAAATTTATGCGCGAGAGCGGGTGATCGAGACGGCTGGTATTAGACCCCCGCGACGTTCCGCTGAGTCAGACTCCGTTGAACTTTTGTCGCGTGGTTAGAAACGGCTGCACGATTCGGGCAGCATCTTTTTTTCCGTCTTTTTTTTTTTTTCCCGACCAGTGTTTTTAAGGTTTCGATGACACGAGTCAACTTGGCAGTAAAAGAGCTATCTAGACTAGAGCCTTAATATACCATACGCTAAACAAACAAAAAAAAAGAAAAAGAGAAGCGTCATCTAATGTTACTTTTGATCAATGATCCAGCCTCCGCCATACCGGGGGTTCCCGTACCGACAGTTTCGCCCGAGAGATGATGGTCCCGGCCAAGTTGGAGTTCCAGATCCAAAAATATGATCACGTGCTGCCGGTCTATTCCGAACCCTCCGCGGAGAGTCTTCGATAAAGACCGTTCGCTTGCCTGGATTGCCCAAATTATTGCTTCGCTGACGAGTCTCGTGACCTCGTTGCTGATAATTCCTTTTCCACAATCTTGCGGCCGCTATTACTTTCCGCCTTGCACAGAAATGGAACTGAGCTGAAATCAGATTCACCTCGCTCAAAAAAGAAATATGAAAAAGACCCTCCAACATGGTGGGTCCGAATGACACGATGATGAAAGCTGACAGT